TCTGCTCTAGAATTGTTGTAACTTGCAACTGAAACACTGGGGGGGTTGACTCAGGTACAATGACACCTGTGAAAAATCTCTTAGTAAAAGCATTCATTCTCCTGAGAGGGTAGCACACAACAGCATAAACTACCTTTTAATGAAACAAACAATGTTTATCACATGGGCTAGTTTAAAAAACTCCATTGGTCACAAAATATTCATGAAACTGACAAAACCTAAAGGGCAAGATTGTACACCAAAGGGAATTTTAAAAATTAAAACAGGTCTGATAAATTGAAATCACAATGCACTTTTTTTTAAATCTTGAAAAACATGAACTCCTCCCCCTGATAAAAGCAAGCTAAATAATACAATTTTCAGTACTTATGAGAAATAAATTCCCACAGACAGGTATGTTTACAGTATTAAAATAAAGTTTTAAAATAAACGTTAAAATTCAATTATGTCAATACATTAAATCATATATATTAAATCAGTATATTGATTTTCACAGGCCCCATATTTATAATGACACTCTTACAATACCAAAGAAGTCACAAATCTAATTAATTTTAACAAATGCATGAAGTACAGCATCAAATTTAAAAATGTTCAAACTATCTAAAGGTAATGAATTTCTGAATGTCTCTTATTGTGTCCCAAGGGTCACATCTCTATTATAGTGTAGTATAGCTACATATGACCTAGTGAAGACAATTCGTATCCCATGCAAACAAGTTCAGTCTATGATATGCAGCCTGATATGGGTCTGATGAATTTAAAATAGTCTTTCATCAAACCTGACTGGTGGGGTATTTTGTCTTGTAGTTTCCCACCAGGGATTTTGTCATTTACATTTCATCATACTAATATGGAACACACTAATTACAAATGAGGTGCAATTAAATCATTCTCACTTACCACTAGAAAGATGGATAATTAAATATAGAATAAGAGTTTTCATTTTTAATCAGAATATTTGTCTTGAAGGTGAAAACTAAATATGCAACGGTAGTAGAGAGGAGCATGTACATTTAAAACTGCTGAATATGCAATCGTAATGAACTTTATTTTTAGCACTTTGCATATAAAAACAACAACTCTAAATCCTCTCTCTCTTTATATATTTATTTAGAATAAGTAAATACAGAGAAATATGAAAAAGGTAAAAAAACGGCTAGTCCTTAATGACTTCTTCATTTGAAGTAATCTGAAGATAAAAGAAGAAGCTATTTCCAGTGCTAGCATGAATACAACATCTAGAGAATTCAGTTATTTATATATATATAATTTGAACAACAGTGAACAGGAATCCATTTTTTTTTCAAGGAGAATAATAGATAGTGCCTGGTCAACAGGAGAGCTGTTTTTAAAGATCAGTGCTTTGACAAGCTATTCAAGGGAACTTTGTCATCAGTTTCTGTCAAAAGCTGCAATTGAAGGCAAAGTTTTCAGAATTATGAATAACCATAGTTATATATAAAAATGTTGAGACTATTTGTCACCCAAATATTTTTTCTATCTTTTCTAAGGACTGATGAAAGTGAGCTAGGAAATCAGGAGTAAAAATTACATAAACTAAGTATGCATTTTCTAATTGCAACAAATTCTGTCCCACCTAAATACAGTACCTATTACTGGATGGAACTGAGTGTCAGCAACAATTAGTAATTTGCAAATATAATAAAGTTTTCTCAATCGATAAATTAGTTAAATTATACAATTCGTGATGTTGGCACTTTACAGACCTTTTAAAAATGTTCACTGTTGAAAAATGCTGACAATTGCCTTTACTGCTTAAGAATTTTCAAGTTAATTGTGACACATGCTCTTTTTCCTAACTTCCTTCCCAGTGAAAAGACTATTAAATAACTAAGAAATCTTAGTCAAGCCCAAGTTTATGATGGTGTAATTGATTTTGGTTGACTACAGATATATTCCTCATAAAAACATCAATGATCTTCACTGTGAGAAACTGAAACTGAAGTACTGATAGTAATGAGACTTGACTACTTCATGCAAACATTCATCAATACTTTTTGAAGCTTCTAACACATTTTGTGAAAGAACACTTTTAGTATTGCAAACGTGTAAAAAGCTAGCTGTCAGAATAATTGAAAGACTCTTTATTGAGGTTAAGCTGTGTAGCTCATAGCGTTCCCTGAGGTTTTCTAACTCCAGTATAAAACTTGGTATTTGATTTTTGTAAGCATTCAGAGCCTATTAAAGGAGAGGAGATTTTAAGCCATTCAATTAAATGCTGATTTTGAATATGCTCATAACAATAGATTTATATCATTAATTTAAAATACTGTAATGAACGGTTGACAAACAGGTTGTGTGGGCCAGTTGCAGCACGGCGATGGCACTACCCTCTACTCCCCTTTGTATAACAGGGATGTTGGCTGCCCAGGTTAGTGAAGGTCTTCTCTAGCTCAGCCGGCAATACCTCAGCTGAGCAATGCAGGAAACCTGGGTTTGATCCTGAGGGGAGAAACCCCCAAGAACCACAATTTGCTACAATATCTAAAGATAATATGTATAACAATGATACTTCCATATTTGATTCATTCTTCAAATATTCTTACTTGTTTCTTGCTTTACTGAGAATCCTTCAATTGTATTTATTTTGTTATGTAATGTTTTAAGCAAGAGGAGGCCATTCAGCCCACATACTGTAGCCTGTTTAATTGCTGGTAGCCAACAGATGCATGCATACAATCTTGCAATTCAAGTGTGGCAGCTTCAGCAACATAGATTGGTAGCCTGTTACATTATCCCACAGCCTTTTTGTGAATGAGCGCCTCCGGTTCTTAGTTTTAAATGCACTAGCTGTCATGGTCGACATCCCCCCTAGAGGGCACTCCACTACTCTCTTCTTCCTAGCTCCTTGTGATTGTTAATGTCCTCCCAGTGTGTCTCGTTTGTTTCTCTATTTAATCCTAGCACCTCCAATGGCCAGGCTTAAGTATTAGCATATGGATGTCCTGAGGCCTGCCTAGCACCATGGCCTGAGGGCATAGGCCTCATCCCCAACATCTCCCGCATCCCGAGCCATTGTCGTGTCTTTGTTTCCCCTTCCTGGGGATTTTAACCTCACGTTGTTGCTGGATGGATTACTCGGATTGGACCCCTGTACTATGCCCTGACTCTTCTATGGACTCCCTTTTTGGATTGGATACCTGTGTCTCTCCTCCTGTTCCCTGTCTCACGAACCGTCCCTGTTTCTGCATGAATAAATCCCTGCTTGTTTGCACCTACAGTAAGTACATTTCCTTTTACTCTGACTCTACCACTCCCATAGGGTCCTATTACAAGCCCATGATGGAGTGTGGGAGTAAACCGTGACACTAGTTATGTTATTGAAGCCGACATCCTGGCTTCTTCGAGAAATTATTGTACTGGAGTACAGTAGGTGTTAACTACCAGTTGGGAAAGATAAGCAGAATGGCTTCTTCTCATTAATGACCTCTTTCTATTCTTAAATATTTTTTTAATGAGATGAAAAAAAAATGAGATGAATAAATATACCTTTTCTGATAAACTGTAAAAACTGTGAAAAAGAAAATAGAGTGCTACTGTGTTGTTGCTGTTTTTTTACCCACTGTCATCCTCAATCCTGCCTTTACAACCATCTACTGTATATGCCATACTGTATACTGTATCTAACACTATGGATTTAGAATGTTTTATTATGAGCATGACCCACATAGAGTTTATTATAGTGCTACATTATCCTTGCCTCTTTGGAACAGTGTGACTGCATTCATTTCCATCACTTTTGTTTAGAAGGATCTGCAGTTCCAACAATATCATAACTGTATGCTAGTGTGGTAGAATTACCTGTTCCTTTGTTTTTTTCCCCTAAGTTCTCCTTATGACTTTATTCCCCATGTTTTTTCTGTTACTTTTTCTGATTTCAATATTCCTGGATTTCTTTGTGAATGACAATCTGGAATGCCATTTATACAGCAGGGCATTTACTGGAGCAATGTAAGGATAGTATTGTACATTGCTCAAGGGTATAACAGCAGTGTCCTACAGTGGATTTAAATCCACAGCCCTTTGGTGTAGTGTCCATATCTCTAACAGCTACTAACAGCCACAATCCAAACATTCAAACACTGCTGCATGTGTGTAATACTCCTGTTAAATTAGAATAATGAATATACTTAATATTTATACATTTCATTCATAAGAAAAGACAATTGGGAGAAAAAGAGCAATGCAAATAAAAATAGATTAGGATAGAAAGAGGAATAAGTTAGATTAATTAAAACATAAGAACATGCTGTAAGTTTAAAATGAGAGCCTTCTTGGTAGTTAGTAGCTTATCGGTCAGAAGATCTCATCCAGACAGTTCTTGTAAGAAAACAGAGCATCTACTTTAACAACATGACTAGGAAGCCTGTTCCATGTTTATAACCCTTAACATAACAAAGAAGAATTGTTTAATATTACTTTTTTCCCATCAAAGCACAACGCTATTCCATATGTGATATAATGATTTTACATATCAAGCACTTCAATTTTTTTTTTGTGGGAGATATTTAACAAACTTCCCTGCTGTGTTTCCTTTAAGAATTGTAATATATCTTCGTGTAGTTAAAATTTCAACCAGTCTATTTCAATCAGTTTATTTATGTAAATGTGTCCAAATAGGTTTGACATACAGTACAGTACAACGTAAATCCATGCATACAGAAAATGGACACACTTGTAGTAGATAAGTACTGTATACAAGTATAAGTATACAAGAGGAAATCTACTGTATGAGGGAAAATGACCTTGAAGTGGAAAAGCGAAAACGCACAGGCAACTTAGAAGGGTTCTGAACGAACACAGTCTATTATACAATGTTTATATGTGTCTGGGACAAGATTCAGAATACATTTACAAGAGAATGTATATAGTGTTTTCTTTTACAAAGTGTACACCCATGGCCCGTGTAACACCGCCGCAGCTTTAGTGTTTTGATCAGCCCAGTAGGAGGCGAGGCGTTTGAGTTGGGTGGACCACGTGACCCTCCGACTGGACGCTTGCGGCACTTGTTAACTTTTTTTTAGGTAATGAGTGCTAATGTTTATAACTCTCCAAACATATAATGCCAGATCCGGCTCATGCCCTGCTTGTTGGTTTATTCTTTTCTCTTGAATACCGTTACGAGTTAAGTAAAAGAAGCGCATCCATCATGGTGCTCTCCCACCAGGTCTCTCCACCGGAGTTCAAGTGTGGTATGAGGACGGCACCAGCCTGTGATTAAATGGGGGGCACAAACAACTCTCCGCCTGGATTACGGTTGGTGTGTGGACTTAATTTTAATACAAGTTTTAAATGGATGTTTTTTTGCAGTGTATCAGTGGCTCGTGGATTCCAGGGGCGGAGAATACAGCGACAACTTCGTGAATGAGCTTCCACAAGTACTTGCATTGCAGGGTGTGTAAATATTTTCCTCAGAGGGAGGGGTGACTTTTGACTGTTCTTATTTTCAAACGCGTTTTGATAACAGTCAATGATGATACAGTCTGTTAAAAATGTAAATACGTTTTGGTTCAATTATCTATATTCCATTTTTTAATGTGGTTGAATATGTTGGCTTCCTTGGAGTTTATATTTAAAAACGACTGTTTTAAAGAATATTTAATAGGCGTCAGTGTTAAAATGAAGAAACCTAGTCAACTCGTTATGCTTTAAACATACTTTTGAAAACTAAAGTGTTATCTAATATTTAGGTATTTTAAAAACGTGTTTTAACGTACTTGTACTGCACGTGTTTTGTATAATATTAAAATTTAAGTGGTGGGATTGTATTTGTTGCGTGTTTTCTCGCTTTCCATTGTGTTGTACGAGAGATGTTTTTTCGCTGACACAGTTCAATAGGGATTATGGGCAAATCACATGTCCTGTGCTTTTGTTTTTGCTTTTTTGTTGTCTTTTTGTACTGAGTGAGTAAATCAATTAAGGCACCCCTGATAAAGAGAAATATGCATTGACAGGGGCTTTCTACAGCAAAAGGTCATTAGGAGCTACAGAATTAGAACTGGAGTTTGCCTGATGCCAGCAGATTGGCAATGAAGGACACGCGCTTCAATACAATTGTAATAGGAGAACAGCTGTCAAGTCATGTCTTTAAACTACATCAAGAACTTTTATGAAGGATGTGTGAGTATGCAATTATACTAAAAAGGAAAAAAGGGTTGATTGTGTTGACCATAAGAAGTGTACAGAGATGGATGAATCTCCAAAAGCGGTGTAAGAAATATGCAGAGAATGAACTGAGTTTTTGAGCCATTGGTTTTTGAAAGGTGGCAAATAGCCCCTTAATTCATGGGACTTGTCAGGATTGTATTGCTGAGATATTAATTTGTAGTATTTTAAAGGCAATGTTTGAATTGTGGCTTTTAGACCTTGGAGGTCTTTTAAATTTACTCATTTAGTAGCAATGTCGTAATAGTAGAACATAGCAAAAATACTGGTTTACACAATATTTCAAGCACAACATCTTAATTTTATTGCATCAAGATTGCTTCTTAATATCCAAGTAATTATACCACTAAACATTTCAGGAGGTATATGCTGGAAAAAAAGCTTGTCAAGTTTTATTAAAGGTTTTTCAGTAAAAGAATGGGTGCCTCATGACTGCAGTTATTAGGAAGCATTGTTTTGCTGTTCTTTTTATCTGCCTTGAAAGCTTACTTAATTTCTCTTTCTGTTTTAGCTCAGGCCTCCAACAGTGATTGGTCAGTTTCACACACTGTTCTTTGGATCTGTGCGCATGTTCTTTCTTGGGGTCCTGGGCTTTGCAGTTTATGGCAATGAAGCCTTGCACTTCAGCTGTGATCCAGACAAGAGAGAGTTAAACCTCTACTGTTATAACCAGTTCAGGCCAATAACACCTCAGGTAAATCAGGTACCGTGCTTCAATACAGTCAAAGGCAACACATTGCACAATAATACGCAAGCAAGGAGAATGTGTAATAATATTGGTAAATAATTGTGATTTCTATAAAACATTGGCAGATTCTGCAAAAATACAATTTTAATATTCATTAAGGTAACATTACTCAGTCCTCTGCCACCATCTGTCCACATGTACATAAGAAATTTTACAAGCTAGCAGAGACTATTTTGTCCATCTAGTCCATTTGGTGGTTAGCAGTTAGTTGATCCAAGGATGTCATCGAGCCATTTCTTGTAAGATACCAGGGTATCAGCTTCAGAAAATACTGTGTGGCTGAGTACCTTGCTCAGCATTCCTTAAAACCTTTTGCATAGAGGGTATACGTATCTGTATTTGTTCGTACAGCTGTATTACCTTGGAATGATCATCCTTTCAATTAATAGTGGGAACTACAGTTGCATTCACAATGGATTTATGGGTATGAATATTAATTAGCTACATGTCCAATTATAACACTTCACGAGACAGAGCTTTGTATGCACAAGAATTTATAAAACAATTTGGCTCGTTTCTGATGTGTTGTGATTAGATAAGGTGCTAAGTAGTATAAATACCTGCAATGTATTGTACATAAAAAGATTGTATACAGAAAATTCAGGTTTGTTAAGTTTTAACTTTAAGTTTAATTTAAATATGTCTGTTTTACCATTTTATTTAACATAGATCTGTACCCTGTATAATGTTAAGTGTATCCAAGGTTATATACTGAATATACATTAGATTATTGAGCATGTTATATGATTGTATTCATGTTATGATTTATGATGCTGGAAAAAATACAGATTTTTCATATTTAGAAATATAACATTGAAGATTTTATTTATTCTGTTTTTTTAATAATTTATAATTTCCTATGTCTGTATGTTTTGAGTAGTTTTACACTGAAGCAAACAACTACAAAGAAAATATTGGATGTCTACAATTTCAAGTTGAGCTGTGTTAGGCAATGTTAATTAACATGTTCTTGTTCTTCTAAGTAATTCTCCAAAGATGTAAGCAGAAATTCTTTCTTTTTTTCAGGTTTTCTGGGCTTTACAGCTGGTGACTGTTTTGGTTCCTGGAGCTATTTTCCATCTTTATGCTGCCTGTAAAAATATCGACCAGGAAGAAATTCTTCAACAACCCATCTACACTGTTTTTTACATCATTTCTGTCCTGCTAAGAATTATTCTGGAGGTCATAGCATTTTGGCTTCAGAGCCACCTTTTTGGCTTTGAGGTGCACCCTCTTTACATGTGTGATGCCAGTGCTCTGGAGAAAAAGTTTAACGTTACCAAGTGTATGGTGCCTGAACACTTTGAAAAGACCATCTTCCTCAGTGCCATGTACACCTTTACTGTCATCACAGTGGTGCTCTGTGTTGCAGAGATTTTTGAGATCCTCTGTAGAAGACTGGGTTATTTTGCCAGTCAGTGACCTGAATTTTATTTGCTACGGAGCTACAGGTCGGAGTACAGTATAAATACTCTTTTTGTGCTTTTTATCAAGTCTAATCCAGGCTTTTACATGGAAACAAAGGCCTCGAGCTACATACTGTACAGTACCTCTGCTTTTTTTCAGTTGGGAGTTGACATAGAAAGGCATTTCATGTGTTCATTGCTGCAATCGCGATTTTCAAAAGAACCCAGTGTAGTTTTCTTTTTTTCTGAAAACATAAGTTTTTTATTGTAAAGTGTTGGTAGGTTTTAGTTTTTCAAACATTATGTTTTTATTTTATTTTTTAAATTAAGAAAAATTGCAAGCTTAAAAGGTCAGAGGTGGACATGATTTTACATGAAATTATAAATTTTATTAGAGAGAACTGTCAATCCTACACCTGTGTCTTTTCCATAAGTAAAATGGGTTTTATAGAACGGAATAGCACTGATTGTTTCCCAGGTCTTTGTTTTAAAAGCAAGACCATGTACAGTATAATAACAGATCCCATCACTATTTCGTGTGCTTCATATAAATAACAATGTCATTATTTCAATAAGGTTATGTATTTCAAGATCAGAAAATGCGAAATAAAGCATTTGCATTTAAGAGCAGGTCCATTAAAAATATATACTTTAACATAATTTTCACAATTCATGCGTTGGGAATACCTTGAAGGCTTACAAGTAGTACAAGTAGATTTACAAGTGAAGAAAATACACTATTTTGGAAATAAAAGGAAAGGCTTAAAAAGCCTAAAGAACTGAGGATATCCTGATCGATTTTTATGACTTTAATATATTCTGTATTTTAAAAAATACAAAAAGCTATGTCTTTGGTGGTCTTTGGTGGTATAACGTTTTCATAGCCTACTGATTTGCAGTATTTTTGGTTGATGTTGAGCGAGGAAAAAAAGATGGTTATTTGTTAGACAGCCAAAAACAAAATGTAAATTATTAAAAAGATCTTATAGACAGTCAGTATCTGCATAGCTCGCAAATTATACTGTGTAGCTATCAGTATGCTTCGTGATTGGTCATTTCAAGCTCTGTCTTTGAGAATAAAAGCCTAGATAGTTTTCAAAATCCTGTGGAACATCTTTTTTACTTTTCCAAAGCAGTTAAATACAGAAGATAGCCATGCTATCAGAGATAGATTACAGAGGGAAAGCAACATATTTTAAATTGTGTTTTACCTTGTAATATACCCCTAGTGTCTTGGGTTAAGACCTATCTAAGAAGGGCTGCTCAAAGTGTGACTTGGAGTTTTGACTGTTCTATGAACCTTTTTCCTTATCCTTCCCAGAGTCTATAGTAACCAAAGTGTGTTTTGATTCAATCCCTGAGTCACATTTTATACAACAATGCTTACCTCTTTTATTTTGTTTCTTGGCATCTGTAAGCTATTATCAAACATCCATCCAACTTTTGTTTTGTTTGCAGGTAAATGTATCATCTCAGGTACAATATAGGATTCCATGTACTGGATATCAATGCCAGCATGTTAATGTCTATCCCTTTATAATTTCAAAATTAAGTATTGCAGCAAGTCATGGAGTAACCTGTTGACATTAGCAGATATGTTACATGATTAGGGTAATTTCTTCTAAAATAATTTATTGTAAATTATTAATTAATAATGTGTTTGGATTTTTGTTGTACTAGTGCTACTGTTAGTCTGAGTTTTTTAGCTGAAATACATTGTCAGGTGAGTCCTTGGACGTAGAATACTGGTCATTAAAATGGATGTCATTCAGTTATCCATGTCATAGTAATAATAATCCCCTAAATTATATTGTTTTGTGTAATTTGGTTGCTCATGCGGTCAAAAATAAAAAGTGGCAAACCCCATGATCACCTTGTTGGTTCAGCTGATTTGTGTAATGTAGTTATTAAAAGCTAAACCCTACCAGCGAATAGTTTCTTCATCCTGCTCTTCAGTAAAATTAATTTTTCAAATGTCTTTAGATGTCTGAATATTACAAAAATAAAACTATTTCTTACAATGCTATGCTAATGTTTTGTGCAGGTCTTTTAATGTTCTAACTGCTGTACCAAAGTTTCCAGGGTTTCTGTGAGAATCTGGATGGAGAATAATTACTGACTGGAAACTGGTGTTAATAATATCCATTCTAATAATTTATCTCTGAAGTGGAATATCATTAGGATTCATTAGGAAACTTAATAAAAGAGAGCTACACTACATGAATGATCGAAAATCATTGGTTTACTCCTTGCTAAGATGTGAATGATTGAGGAATTGTCATTAAAATTTGTGAAATATTTTATTTTTAAGTGATGCTTGCGTAATACATGTTGAATTGTGGACTAACCACTAATCTGGTTGATATCCACTTAAGACTTTACAGATTATGAAACTATTGAATGAAGGCACTTTAATATATGCATTATACTGTTCTTTTGAATATTGTTTATAACAGAGGTATCCCTAACTGTATTTGATTACAACATGGACTACAGTGTACCTTCAATGAGAAATAGAAACAACATATCTTCTTTTATATCTTGTCCAATATAAAATACAATACAAGGTCTTTTGTAAAGATACGTGGAGATCACTTGGAATGAGAAATTAGTGTCAGTTTCAGAACAGAATCCACTGGAAGTCACCCTGAATTCATACATGTGCAATATGGTTAAATTGAAATGAGGCTTTCTCTGTTTTACTTTGCCAACACCTTTTTGACAGTTATAAGAGAGGAAGACATAATAAGGACTCATCAAATTAATCAGGGTAAGCGCCAAGGAAAGTCATGCATTGTATTATACAGAAAAAACACATTGTGTAGAATTACAGATAAAGATAAATTCCACACTGAAAAGTAGATACACAAAGATACACAACATTTCAGATGTTGAGCCTTCTCCAAGTGTGAGGTTGAGAGAAGAGTGTAACAGAGATACAAAGCACAGGAGAACAAAGCAGGTGAAAATAGGCGCACGGGTGATGCAGAATGTCCAAAAAGAAGGGAATTCTGGAGGAGAGATGTGAAAACCTGAAAATTGGATGGTGAAGCTTTAATAAGAAATGAGTCTTTCATTGATTGAAGAGGGAAGGTGTGATCAAAGTTAAAGGATAATCTTGGCTTCTAATGTTTTCAGGAATGTGAGTCCTGAAATGAGGTACTGCTACCTGCATTGACAAATAACTACAGCAATTTCTTTTCATTTACTTTTCAGCATTGAATTAACATTAACTTGTTCCTTTGCAGCCAATGCATGCTGACACAGCTCCCTACTCAAATCTTTGTAGAGCTGTCAGTCTGCCAGATATTCAACTGCTGTTATTGAAAGATGATCTATTAAAGATAAGTAATATTTCCGTCACTGACAGATATTGGAATTCCATCTATGGCTGTAATAACCTTAAGAACATAACAAAGTACAGTACAACAGATTTCTAGTAACTGATCTGAGGATCTCGTCCATCTATATTTTGAATGATCTGATGCAGTCAGCTTAATCCAGATCAACTACATTTTGTGCAAAGAACTGCTTTCTGCTGTTGTTCCTGGATCCACTTAAGTGCTGCCAGAGAAGTCTTGCATAAAGCTAAATAAGGCTAAATTAAAGAGTGCATTGTAAAACTGGTAAGTCACTAATCTTTTAATTATTTCATATAGTTAATAAGACAAAGTCCAAAGTCCGTCAAAAACAAAATGACAAGTGAAGACGATACAACCAGACGACATAAGTTAAAGGGGAATTGAACTGAGAACAGGAAGCTCTTTTTACATAGAGGGTTATAGAAGTCTGTGCCGAAGAGAGATTAGTTTCATTTTACCATGAGACCTCCTCACCAGCAGATGTCGACAATCTTACTTCAACGTGGAAACACACGATGCAGGAAGCGGAAGAGTCTTTGAATATTGAGTTTACATTTTGGAGTTGCTTGTCGGACTGTGGGAAAGAAATCATAGTTTATTCATTAAAACAGTAATTAATTAGTTTATTTTTTAAAGATGGCTCTGCCACCCCAGTTAAAGTCCATTCAACATCACTTACGAACTGCCCAGGAGCACGAGAAAAGGGACCCAGTTGTGGCGTATTACTGTAAGTCTGTATTTTCAACTACCTAATCATGTTGCAACAGCTACACAATAGACGTATGACATTACATATTATTTTGTTTCTTAGACGTCATTTTACCTAAACGAACAAATAATGCCTATAGTTGGTAGTATTACGTTTGAAAAATAAAATTGAGACCAGTAGATATTCGTATTGTATGACTTGGCAAATCATAGGTAACTTTATGATTTTTATTGTTCGCCGCCTTTGAGAAATGTCTTGCTTAATCTAAAGGTATTAAAATAGTTTTGGAGCGTTTCGATTTTCTAGCTTTTGTTCTGTCACTAGAAAACTAACTGCACTTTTCGCGTAACAGTCAACATTTATCATTTTGGACCGGCTAGAATAGTTAGAAGATGTGTTTGCTTCATAATTCCTTGTTAAAATGTTTAATGTATAATATTGTTTAACGTAAAATGTTACTTTCTTATGTTAAAATATATAATATAAGCACCAAAGTGTTCTTGTTTTGCAATATTTGTGTGTCTTGAAATGAAGTGTTACACAAAAGAGACTGTAAGACTGTAAGGCCAGTTAGACGTAAGTATTATAAGACATCAATTTTTAACTCCGACAGCAAAGTTTAATTATCATAATGTATAGAGGATACATGGGATGGTGTAACATGATTTTTTATCTTTGTGCAAGACACTCACATCCCATTGCAAACTAAACTGCCATAGCTGTTTTAGTGCCTGCCAGTTGCATAACTCACATTAAACTTTGGATTTAATACTATTTATAACTGTGAGTAAGAATATATTTCTAGGTTCTCTGGTGCACTAAATGTGTAACAGATTGAGTACATCTATTAGTCAGGGGGAGTTCTGTGTTTTGTGCTGAACTGAAAATCCTCACTTGAGATTTGAACCCCGAGGTGGAATATCACCAGGATCTCCTTCTTTAACCTTGGAGACATGGTCCAGCTCTGTCCTGCTCTGCCAATGCCTGGAAGCTGGCTCATGTCTTTATTTTTTATATAATGATTCTTGCTTGATTTATGCCTTTTCTGCTGAGGTTTCCAAGAAAATTGTGGACAAACTGCATCATGTTCAGATCTCAACAGCCTCAGCAGCCTGACTAGTTTCAAGTCTCATGTTATTTTTTTAATGATTAGAATCTTTGCTTTGGCTTCCAGTGTAGTTTTGAATCAATGTTAAAATCTTACCTTTGACTTTCAAGACCTGTAATGACTTGAATCCTCTTATGTTACTGTACACATGTCTTATACTAGCTATGTCTAGCTATGAGTATTGGTCCACTAATACAAGACTATGTTTCAGCAAGCTATGCTACGAGTGATATAATGTTATTTGACTAAACTCTGTGGTTGTGAATTGCCCTTCTCAAAGAATCGGGAAACTGTCCTTATTGGACAGTTAAAACTGCCTTGTTTTTCTTGTTTTTCAATGATTTTTTTGTGTATTTAGCACTGTTTTTGTTTTTTTTTGTTCATACGTATGATGAGTTATCATGAAAGCACTTTTATAAAGACTGTAAACTACATTTTTTCACTTTACTGTAGCCTGTCTGTTAGTGACAAAAGCTTAAGTCACACCTTTTATAACATAATTATATTGCCTGCTTTCACTCCACCTTTAAAGTGGCTTTTAAATCAGAGTCAAGTAATTATCTTAAATTTGTTGCTACTCCAAACTGTATTGTAAACTCAATTGAACATATATGTGAGTTGTGATTACAGCAGATGTGATGGTAAATATGCAACATTTAATTTAATGGTATGGCATTAAAAAAGTGTATGGCTACCTCTTTATCTGACATTTCTATTTAAAAAGTGAAAAAAAAACACCTTGTTTAGTTTGGTAGTTTTACAGTTAATGCCTTAGTGTTTTAAGTTACTGGCTCAGAGAATAAATGTAGTTACACGATCATCCTATAAAGTATAGGAGTTTCAGCCATTTCTTGTAAATCTTGTAAAAGAAATATAATGCATCATTCAAGATGGCATGCGAATTCAGGTCTGCCAGTCAGCTGACCAATTAAATCAACCTGAAATCTGCACACAATTGCAAATCCATATTCAAATCTGTTAAGAATAGACGGATTCAGCCATGTACATCTTGCCTTTCAGCTAGAATATGAAGAAACACGACTAATCCAAATCACAAAAAAAATAATTACGTTAGAAAAAGAAACACATTCACTGAAATGACCCTCTGTGATGTTTTAGAAAAGCTTTATATACTGTGCTTCTCCACAGTACTAGGTCTGAGCATTAATTCTATATATATATTTTCTCTCCTTTGTTCTGAAATAGCAATTCTCTTTTCTTAATAAAGGCTGAATTTCAGACTGCTTCTGCAGACATTTGGGGAGGCAGTTATTGTCCCAGCCTGGTTTAAAACTTGTTAAACTGTGCTAAAACTATCACCTTTGTGTGGCATTTACCACAATGAAAACTGACTGCAGAAATATTCACTTTTTTAACTTCAGGCTATATGGTATCATCTACCTTGCACTACAGTGTAGTAGTTGTGTAGGATAGAGCCTGTAATTAATGCATTTTACTCCTCAGCCCACATTTAAGGGTTGAGCAATAACTGGTTAAATAAAACTAGAGAAATATTATCTTTGAGAGCTGGGATTGCTTAAGCAGCAGGCAGCTTGACATAGTTGACAGTATACTCTAAATTTAAAATTAAATCAATCCCTTAAAATTGATACTGTGTGGAAAGAAATCCAACTAACCAAAATGTGCTGCAAATAATTTGTAGATGAAACAGTTACTTTAAAATAATTTGCAAAAAATTAGACAGATTTCATTGTGCCAGAAAATGGTCTTAAAGTATGAACATTATGACTTGCCACAAAGGAATACAAGGTGTGTAATGATAAGTTACAGACTTATCTAAGAAATGCTAAGAAAAATGAAAACGGTTTTGGTACGCTGTATTCGTGGAGATTCTGTATCACTGTTCTTTGAAGATGGCACAAATAATTGTAATGCCCGTAGCAAAATGTAAAGGACCCTAATCCTACTGTTAACAAGGTTTCATTGATAGAAAGAAATGTTTTATTTTTGTGCTAAGGTGCAATATGGGTAGAAAAATGCTTTGTTAATGAGAATGAGATGAGCATGTCCAGTAACTTAAAAAAATTAGCATCTATACTTAACTGTCATTAAATACGTTCAGGTGGGTAGCTGTGTCAACATGTGTAGTCTGCAAAGGAACAAGTAATAGGTTTATTCCATGCTGAAAAGAGAAGAGAGAAAACACAACATTTCAGCTGTGAAGCCTTCAGGTGTGAGCAACCTCATTAAATATGACCACTAGCCACCAATTACTAATCAGCTAAAGCTCTAAATAAGCAAAAATGTTGCAATGCAACTTTAGAGACATTTAAATGCAATACCATTTAAATAGGCTCAATAAATATAAAATTACCAAAGATAGTTGTGTTGGCCAGATGTATCTATGGGTGTGATTAGTACATTTTACACACTGTTCATTACCCACTACTATTAACAGTCTTCTCTTCATGTTTTACATTTAAGAAAAGTAAATATTTAATTTAAAAATGACTTACTACCAGAACGTAAGTATTATACATGAATAGATATATGTAATATATATATATTCACACCACTGATTAGAAAGGACCAAATAATGCATATGTCCTATTTACACTTTCTATTTATGGATAGTTATTTTTAAAAAATGTTGGCACCACTGTGCAGTTATGATTCTCAGATCTACAGTAATGATTTAAGTTTGCTCAGCAAGGAAAAAATTATGCACTGATCTCAGTTGAAAAATCAACTGAGCAGATAATCATAGGAATGTATTAATAGTGAATAATAGCTTGCCTTTTTTCCATTAGATTACTCTCTCGTGCAATTTTATCGGTGCTGTCTTTAAGGCTTGTTAACATATGGGAGTCACATGTTTTGTGAACTATTTTAAATTGTAAAGTAAAATGTTAGACTGTACTATTTTTCACTGCATAATATTACGGTTCATGTCTGACTGTTGTGTACACTGTACTAGAGCAGTACACTGCACTAGATAGTTGTATGTGTATTAAATGTAGTCAAAATTAAAGCTACAAGACTGAAAAATATAAGGCAGATACTCAGATACAGAATATCTTATCCCAGATACTAAGATACCATCTGAGATAAAACCCTACAGTATGTAAAACCTAAAATGTCTTGGACTGGTAAACTATACACTTTTTGCTATTTCCCTGTTTAATTAAAACAATTAAAAGCCCAGGGAACTGTGAGGGAGCATTGTAGGCTAAATACCTAAGGAATCTTTAATATCTTTTCTTAGTTTTCATGATCTCCAGATGGTTTATTGTGATTAGATTGTTTTCGGTGCACACTTATGCAACCAAGGAATTGAAAGTTTTTTTTCTTTTAATTATTTTTTCTTAAAAGATCCATTTGTTTTTCACTTAAATATTATTGGTTAAATAAAGTGATAATCTTATTATAGTCTTATTAAAGGTGAAAATAAGTCTGCCATGATTTGTCTTGATTTCAGGCTTTACATCAACAAAAGCTGAAACGTCAATAAGGGTGTGTAGACTTTTGATATCCACTGTACATTCTGAAGGGCAGTTTTACATGAATTATAAATGTAAGCACACACCTGTTAACATGGAGGTGAGCAACTTGCTCTTCCTGAAAGACCAAAACATGTCATAGCATGTGACATTGTGACCTCAATAGTAGATGCAATCAACCTAATAATAGAGCTGTTTAGAACAATATACAGTACATGTTCAGTTATGAAGATGGATGACAATAGATTGCAGATGTAACCGGTCACTACACATTACTACATGGACTCTAAAAAGGAGGTATTTGCTTTTTTTCTTTTTGCTTGATCATTGAATGTGCTCCTTTTCAGGAAGACCATGTTTCAGAAGACCGACTCATGTTGACTATTTCTTACTTACATTAAGAAATTGTGAAAAATGATGATCAAGAATGCACATTTTTATAAACTAAA